CTACAAAAGCTACCCAGTATCATTTATCTTTTCTGGATTTCTGAGTCTAGGAAAACAATGGCATTCCCTGTGATTTAGTTAGAGCTTCCACTTTCTGCAAGTGTTATCTGTGAGGAACTGGGCTGACAGGAGTGAGGGAGTGAGGCACCGACAGATGTCTGGGTGCTCTCCGGTATCTTAGTTTTTTTTAAAATAAAATTTACAGTCAAGCAAGGACTTTAAAGAGATGCAGATATAATTTAATAATATCTAGATGGAGGTATGTCCTTAAGTCCAAAATCCCATCCCTATCCCTGGAAGTGTTCAAGGCCAGGCTGGATGGAGCTTTCTTTGAGCAACCTGGTCTAGTGGAAGGTGTTCCTTCCACGGCAGAGGAGTTGGACTGAATGATCTTTAAGATCCCTTCCAAATCATTTATGATTCTATTACATCCAAAAAAACCCAACCTCCTTTCACCAAGGGAGACACTTGAATTTAAAATAAATGCCGCCGTTTACCCCACAGAATATTTAAGTAGACACAGTTATGCTTCTAGGAGCAAAACAGATCCAGTTTCTGCCTGTAGATATCTGGTTTGGTTAAAATCAGCGATGATCAAAAATTTGGCATTACTATCTGTTGGTCAACAAAACATCAAAATGAGCAAGTGTGTTCACAGCTCTATGGTTAAGCTGTTTACAAAACTCAAGTGGTGATACTTTATATATTGGTTTTATTCCACACCCTCCATCTTCTACATGAAAATTAAAAAATTACTTCCTCCAGAAACAGAAAACTCAGGTTCAAGCTACCCTTTTCTCATTTTCTCCCATCAAACAGGTGGCCCATGACATCAGAAAATAGGGTAGGAGAACTCAAAATCTTTGAGACAGCATTTCCTGCCAGATGGGAAAATGGGAGTCCTAAATCCCTGAAGTGTTTCATAGGAAACAAAACAAAAAAAAGTCATCCTATTAAAAAAATATAAAAATAATAATAATAAACTAATGAAATAAAAATAAGAAATAATTCTGGACACCTAAATCTGGGGCAGTTTTTCATTCTGTCCGTATAATTAGAATATATGATTCACATATATATGATTGTTAGAATTACCAGGCTTTGACACATAAGTCTTTGTAAAGAAAACTTGGTTTTCTTTAAGTTAAGATTCATTCTTTTAATTTATGGATACGATTTTCACCTCCAGCAGACAGCCCCAGGTATGGCATCCCATGGACCTGTTTTCCTGCCTCAAGATTCTAAAAACTTGAACAATCTGGAAGTTCAAACACAAGTTCTCTGCTTGGTA